TTAATTTATATATATATATATATTTTAAATTTCTTTGTGTAAGAATTTTCTGTTTCTGGTAATAAATATGGATGTATTTGCCTTGCAGCTCCAAAGGGTTTGTTTCCACCAGAACCAGAACATTATCGTGGGCCCAAGCTCAAAGTAGCCATTATCGGAGCTGGACTTGCTGGCATGTCCACTGCAGTCGAGCTTTTGGATCAAGGCCACGAGGTTGTCATTTTCAAATGCGACGAGAAAAAATAAACTTAATTACTTTGATGACCTAACAACTGCTCTTTGTTTAATTACTACGCTTTCTACTAGTTAGTGGGAAACGAGAAGTGAGTTTGCACTTTGTTTTATGAAATGTAATTGCCGGATTGATTTTAAGATGCTTGAAGAACGATTTTAAGTTGCATTTTTAGTTTCTTTGCTTTCCTAATTAGAATACGGATTTTGTGCTTTCTTGTTTGCAGGTGGATATATATGATTCAAAGTCTTTTGTTGGTGGAAAAGTGGGTTCGTTTGTAGACAAACAGGGAAACCACATTGAAATGGGATTGCATGTTTTCTTTGGTTGCTACAATAATCTCTTCCGCTTGATGAAAAAGGTAGAGTTGACTTGTTCCTTCTACACGAGCACTCAATTTGTAGGCGAAACAAGCTAAATTAGATAGTAATCATGCCTATCTCAAGCAAAACTATCCTATCGATTGATTGGTATCAGAGATTAATTGATTATTCTTAATGAGAGCCGAAATTGAATTTTAAGCTATAACCTGCTTTCTTATGTTCATTTGAAAGCCAAACAATCTAAATTAGATACTAATTATGCCTATCTCAAGCAAAACTATCATATCGATAGATTGATATCTGAGATTAATTGATTATTCATAATGAAGGGCGAAATTGAATTTTAAACAGTAATCTGTTTTCTTATGTTCATTTGAAGGCCAAAGAAGCCAAATTGGATACTAATTATGTCTATCTCTGGCAAAACTATCCTATCGATAGATTGGCGTCAGGATTAGTTGATTATACTTAAGGATGGCCAAATTGAAGTCTAAGCTATAATCTGCTTTTTGATGTTCATTTGAATGCCAAACAAGCTAAGTTAGATACTAATTATGCCTATCTCAAGCAAAACCATCCTATCGATAGATTAGTGTCGGGGCTTAATTGATTATGATTCAGGATGGCTGAAATTGAAGTTTAAGCTATAATATGCTTTCTTATAATTCACCCGCATTTCAGTACTTTATGCAGATTGATGGATGTCATTATTTACTGTAAATGATCTCCGATTAACTTTTCTATATTGCTTGGCACAGGTAGGTGCTGAAAAGAATCTTCTTGTCAAGGATCACACTCACACTTTTGTCAACAAAGGGGGTGATATTGGCGGTATGATGAATACTTATTACAAAATTAACCTGTCTGTATTTTCCCAGTAAATGGTCCATTGGCATGTGTAGTTTTAAGGAACATGTAATCAAGTGTGTTTCTACTTGCAGAACTTGATTTTCGGTTCCCAATTGGAGCACCAATACATGGAATGCGCGCATTTTTGACGACGAATCAACTCGGGGTACTATATATTCTGTTCATATATGTATTTATTTGGTCCTGCACATTTCTGCTGTTTCCTGATTAGTATTTTTGTGCAAGCAACTTCATTTTCCTAATATATCATTCTTTTGACGTGTATGGAGATGCAGTTTCGGGATTTTTTGTCCTTTCACCTCGCTGTTTAGTCGAGAGCTTATATTGTCATACAGAACTTTCCGTTTGGAGCTAAAACGTATATATACTTTCCGTTTGTACATCAGAAGTTTTTACTCGGAGAATGCCTCATTTCATGAGCATCTATGTCGTAGCATTGGTGCCTGTCTGGGCAAGTAAATTTAACTACCTGGTCTCGAATTCACTAACTAGAAATAAAATGCTTTTGGTTAGAATTTATTGTTTAGTTCAAATCAATTGGTCCTTCATCTTGGTAAATCATGGTAATCTTGTGCATGGGTTTATTCTGCGATTGCATGACAATCATAAATAGAGTGTTTTCCGGCACAACATAATTATGTATGGAGGTTTATGAGAGCCAACAAGGGATCTGGGGATCTCATTTGTTCTCTATAGTTCTTAACTCGAAAGTCATTGGCCGAGACCAGTGAAAGTTAGAAAAATGGCTTTTCTAAATCTACTATCGAGTCATGTAAATAGGTTTTTGTTTGTATTATTCTTTTCTTTCTTTTGCCGTTTTCTTTTCTTTACATTTTTTACTTCCCAAAGTCCACTTCTTTTTTAAAAGGAGATACTATATTAATTTATCAAGTTCACGTCCACATATATCAATTGTGTTAAAATGTTTGTTCCAATGTTATTGCTTATTGGTTACTACATGATGATAGTTTGGTCCTTTTTATGAAGTAAACTATCAGAGAAAGGTTCACCCTCTCTATATTATTCTTGTCATGCAAGTTAAAGAAATCTGTCTACATCTATTTATTCGATGACATTTTCTAAATTTGTTCCCCACTCTGAATTTGCAGACTTACGACAAAGCAAGAAATGCAGTGGCTCTCGCCCTTAGTCCAGTCGTAAGGGCACTTGTCGATCCAGATGGAGCAATGCAGAACATACGAGATCTTGATAATGTTTGTGTTCTTTCCAATTCTCTATTTCTTTCCTTTTCGCAAGTGTATGAATAAGATATATAAGTCAGGATTGGAAGCATAGGGGCGCAGTAAAATCTTATGAATAGAGAATAAGAGTCCTAAAGAGAGAGTCTTATAGTATGAAAACGGCAGATATAAAGTTAAAAACATAGCATTCTATAGCCCGATTGTGTGATGATATCAGCAAGCAGAGCCTCGTGCGTTAGCCCCACTTTTATTTTTAAAAAATGCTACTAGAATAATGATTGGAGGAACTTCACCTTCTCACTCCAGGATTACTGGAACACATGTAGGCTTTTAACACTTCATGGTTGACAAACTATGTGATATATTGATATTGCTCAAATTCATTGCCATGCATTTTCATGCCAGAGTTTATATATATATATATATATATATATATATGTACATATATATATTGTCTCATATCTTCGTTTTTGGTAATCACTTAGCTATCTATTTACTACAGATAAGCTTCTCTGAGTGGTTCATGTCCAAAGGCGGGACACGCAAGAGCATACAGAGAATGTGGGACCCCGTTGCTTATGCACTAGGATTCATCGACTGTGATAATATTAGTGCACGCTGTATGCTTACTATATTTTCACTCTTTGCTACTAAAACCGAAGCTTCCCTACTTCGAATGCTAAAGGGCTCTCCAGATGTTTATTTGAGTGGTCCCATCAGAAAGTATATAACAGACAGGGGAGGCAGGTAAAAACAATATATTTTACTCATATAATCAAACTCTTTTTTACTATTACCAAAAAAAAAAAACAAATCTTTTTAGTTTTGGTCCGCCAGTAAAATTTCTTGTGCTTGTTTGCTGCTGAAGGTTCCATTTGCGGTGGGGATGCAGAGAAGTTCTTTACGATAGATCTGCCGATGGAGGTGTGTATGTAACGGGGCTTGCAATGTCCAAGGTACATTCGTTTTTATTCAAAATTTTACCTTGTACTAACTGATTTAACTAATTTACGAATTTAAGTAGCAAACTTCAGCTTATTTAAATATTCAACAATCATAGGTATATTTGGAGATAGCATAACTTCCTCCATTTATGAGGTGAATTGTTTTGAAGGGCAAAAACTGGACACCTCTTACTACTGAGCATTTATATACGTGCATTCATCCTTAATTGCTGGCTATCCATGTTTGCTGTACATTTTTCACAATTCGTTAATTGAATTTACATACAATTATATCTCATTAAGAATTGTTACATGCTATGAGTAGTGGATTAATATCTTATATATTTTTTTCTCTCCATTAGTGGCACTCACTTGTAGATTAGATTGCACAAGGTCAACTCTATCTCTGATACTTTTTGTGTTTGGAAAATGAGAATAGGATTAAAGTAAAATATATTTTGTGGAGGTTTTGTTTACATGTATTATTTAGTATTATACGAGGAAAAAAAAAACTGATCTTCTTCTCCTTCCAGTACGAAAATAAACCTGAATTGCAAAATGATGTTTTCTTTTAATTCCTTTGCAAGACCTTTTAAGGCTATTTCTCTAAGGCTGGTTTCCATATTTTATAATATCTTATGTATCTTTATCTATGAAAATTGTGGGCTAGCCATGCAGACTAACAAATGATTTCTCCTTCGTTCAGGCTACTGAAAAGAAAACAGTAAAAGCCGATGCTTATGTGGCAGGTTTGCAATTAACCTCGCCTTTATATTTTCTCCTTTACTATACAGTAAGATAATCTCATGTTCTCTAATTTTTAATTGCAGCATGTGATGTACCCGGAATTAAAAGATTACTCCCACAAGATTGGAGAGAGTCGCAATTCTTCGATAACATCTATAAACTGGTAGGAGTACCAGTTGTCACTGTGCAGCTTCGATACAATGGCTGGGTTACAGAGCTAAAAGACTTAGAACGTTCACGGTCAGCATTATTAACCTTTTACAATAGTTATACTTTGATTCTTTTTGCAGCGCAGAATATTCTTCTTTCCCACCAAATTTTATTAACTCTGAGATTTTTCAGGCAATTGAGGCAAGCATCGGGACTTGATAATCTACTTTACACTCCGGATGCAGATTTCTCTTGTTTTGCTGACCTGGCGCTCACATCACCAGCGGATTATTACATTGAGGGACAAGGCTCGTTGCTTCAGTAAGAAATGCTATGATTATAAACAATTTTTTTCTAGGATGATGATGTTTTTCTGCTCGATGTTTATTATTTGTTGGATATTTACAGATGTGTACTTACACCTGGGGATCCTTACATGCCTCTACTAAACGATGAAATTATCAAGAGAGTTACAAAACAGGTTCGTTTAACTTGTTACTTTCTTTGGGAAGCTGCTCTCTGGTTTAATTAGTCGATGTATTATTTTACATTTTGGTTAAAGTTTCTAGTGTAATCACTTGCCAACTCCTTCCTAGTACAAAATTTACGTTTTAAGAAGGGTAAATTACAACCACCCCTGAGGTATGGTCAAATTACGAAAACTCCCCTCCTGTTTGGGTAATTACAACCACCCCTCAACTATAAATTTTTTTACACGTCCACCCTGGCGGTTTCAAATTTAGTAGAATCTTCGAGATTATATGGATTATTATCACTTTTGTACCCGTTTTATCCCATTTGAAGCAAGATTATCATAATTTGTGTTTTTTGGCTTCTATATATCAAATTGTGGTGCATCAAAAACTGTATTTTTACACAAAACGACTACAAACTAGAGCACGTTTCACGAAATCTAGATGATTATGTTGAATTTGACACCATAAGGGTGGAGGTGTAAGAAAAACTCATAGTTGAGGGGTAGATGTAATTATTCAAAGAAGAGGGGTTTTTTCGTAAATTGACCATACCTCAGGGGTGGTTGTAATTTACCCTTTTAAGAATAATATTATGCAACTTATTTGTGTTTCATGCAATGGTAGTAGACTCGTAAACATTTTTTTGTGTTTATTATTTGGCTAATCGTACGTGTTGATGTTGTTATTAGGTTTTGGTGCTGTTTCCATCTTCCCAAGGTTTGGAAGTAACATGGTCGTCAGTTGTGAAAATCGGACAGTCTTTATACCGTGAAGGACCTGGTAAAGACCCTTTCAGACCCGACCAGAAAACTCCGATAAAAAACTTCTTCCTCGCTGGTTCATACACTAAACAGGTCCGTCACACTCCGCCTTCCGATTTATACTTATAACCCAAATAAAACGGCAATAATTCGATTTGGATAAAAAAAAATTAAATTATTAATTTTTTTCTATTGGGTTTTGATAGGATTACATAGACAGCATGGAGGGAGCGACTCTGTCTGGCAGACTAGCCTCGGCGTTCATATGTGGTGCTGGAGAAGAATTGGTCGCCTTACCGAATTATCTTCTCAAGAAATGAGTGACCTGTCTGATTTTATTTTATAATA